ATTATTCCTCTTCTCAAGTAGCTTAACTTTTCACAAATATCGTAGTTAAATTGTATGGTTTTCCTAAAACAATTGTCTCAAACTGCGACAACATTTCCTTTAGCCACTTTTGGTATTATTTTTTTGGATTATTTTATGTTCATTGATGGTTCAGGGTTAGTCTATTCATCAAGTAGTGCTTGTCTTCTAATTACTGGCATCAATCCATGCTCATGCAACTTTCAAATTGTTGGATCTAAGTTTGTCTGTTGGTGACACTTGACATTACTAGCAGGCAAGTTCTACGAGTATGATCTGAGAACCTATGAGAATTTTGTGTGTGTGTGTGTGTGTGTGTGTGAGAGAGAGAGAGAGAGAGAGAGAGAGAGAGAGAGAGAGAGAGAGAGAGAACTTTGTAGGAAATGATTTACCAGCTCAAGTTTTTATAGCAAATGCCAAAAGATTTAAAAATGTTTCCCTTCAACCTTTATTTAGTGGAGTCTACGAGCTATAAGAAAGGCTCCATTAATAAAGAAATAAAAAAATTATAATAGATTAATGGCTCTTGTTACAGATTGCCCTAGACATTGGTCACACCCTGACTATCTTGATGGAGATTTCATCTCTCACTTTTGTTTCTCTGTCTTGGGGCGAGTTCTACCAAGTGTCTAGGGTCGAGTAGGAGTAGGCGAGCCTGCTAGTGAGGGCCATGTTGAGTGGGTTGTGGTTGGTGAGCTCTCTAAATCCTTAGGTATGTTAAACATCAACACATTCCATTAGATTTGAAAATGGTACAAGCAAATTGTGAAGCATAGGCTACCAACTTGAACGGCCAATCTACAATCATCAAAGTTTTCTAAAGAAGAAGAAGATCTCCAAAATAAATCAAGCCTTGTAACATAATTAAATGAGCTATGAATATGTAATAAAGATTTATTTTATTTTCTAATTAATGTAGCCAATTCTACCAATTTTTATTAAGGTTTGTACTAGATAGACCAAGCCTACTTATAAACTTGATTTATCTAAGTAGCATAAATAGACCATATTGTAAACAAACAAGCATGAGCTCCTTTCTCTCTCTTCTAAATTCTCTTGGAGTCTACACCTACTCTAAAGGGGCCCCACTTCTTGGCCCTCGAAGAAGCATATCACAACCTTTGTTAGAGCCCCATATTGCTTCATAATGAGAGATAAGTAGGTTCAAGTCATGGGGGTAGTAGGCACCACTATCGGATGACTCTGTCAAGGCCAACTAGAACCCTCTTGAAAAGATCCTTTCCTGTAGTTGAGATAATGTATTTGGTTGATTGCATTCCACCAAAAATAGCATCGAGCGGCTTCTGTGGTTGGTTTGCAGCGGGGTGGGGCGGGGGTTCTTGTGTCATAGATTGTTCTTGTGGGAGATAACTCACCTCTAATTATCTTGCCAAGTTAGATTTTGATGACCCTCAGGTGAGTTATCCTTATGGTGCTCATGTTGTATGAATTCACTTGCTATAACCTACTGACTGCCCATTGGATACTTGAAAAGACATACACAAGTATACAGTGTTGTTTTACCATACTATAAACGGTAGAATATTTAGTTGAGAATATAGGAAATGAAACAAACTATCTTTTTTTTGGAGTTAAATACGCTCAAGGTTGTTTCTTAGCGTGATATGGATAAGAGAACTTAATAACTAATCTTCATGTAGAACATGTAATAGGTAATTCTTTATTTGCAAGCGTGAAGTGCACTTTCGCAGTACTGAAGTAATTTACATATGCAGTGGGAGCTTGCAGATATTTATTTATTATATTGGTAAGATCCCCTGCAGGGAGAAATCATGTCTTCCATGCTATTTACTTTATGAACTGCAGAAGGACCTTAAACAGTAGCCTAACATTGGGCAAATGTATTCAACCATTTATAGCATGGCTGTTCATGGGACGTATAAATTTTACCATTGTAGCGCTCTGCTCGTATACCTTCCCTAGAATTTTCTATATAGGCATAATTTGGTAGATTTCTTAGTTTAGACATTAGAATAAACTAAAGCATGATGAACTTTCTCTGCTTATATTTAACAAAGCAGTTAAGTATGTAATTGATATAATAATAATTTTTATTGAATCTTTGGAGCTTTATCTGAAATTTACTTTTAAAATTGATTGTTTATGAATTTTAAAATGATAAAATGTATGCTAAGGCAACTGCAATAATAAGAGAAGTGAAATCATGGTAGTGTAAATTGGCTATCAGAAGTTTAGCCGTTTCCTTTATGACTCGGGTTGAACTGTATAGCTACTTCAAATTTAACTAAAAACATTACGTGGGAAAAGCTCGTTGAGCATGTTGTATTATGATACATCAAGTGAAATGGTCATAGTGAAGTGGCCTGAAAACCGAGCTGCATGAATGGAGTACTATTCTGAATTATGTGATTTGGTTTCATGTGTTTAACGGAATAGCATAGACAAAATATGCTTGTTGTCCCTAATCAAATGAAAATAGCGGTTTTGATGATATGATATAGTTGCCCACTATTTTTAAGGTTGTCAAATGAGTTCATGATAATGATATCTCTTTCAATCCTTTGGGAGATCATTGTTCAATGCTAAGCAGAATTGATGAAAACAGTTAATATGTTGCTACGTCAAAAAAAAAAAAAAAAAAAGGTTAATATTTTGCTCACCCTGTGGTTAGAGTTTAATTTTATATGCTATGTGTACATTTTGTCAAAAATGGTCTTTGTTAAGGTAATCTCACTTTTAGTTTTTTACTGCAATTTGAAATGTTTGGATTGGTATCAGCCATATCTTTCCTCGGTTCTCAGTATCTCTATGTTAGCTGTAGCATTTTTCCAGTATCCTCTATTTAATTTAAACATTTTTTTTTTTGAGAGAAGCAATAAATGCATTAATAGCTAAAAAAAACAAACAAAAGAAAAACTACAGGTTCGATTCCTCCTTCAAAATATTAATAAATGAAGGAGGAATCTTATTCAAGCATAATTCATCCCAAATAAAATTGTTGGCCGAGGCATACTTAGCACACCAATCGGCCAACTTGTTTTTGCTTCTATCAACACAAGAAAAAATAAGTAAGTTGAATTCAGAAAGGAAATCATACTCTTCATCTCCTTTAAAGCCATTAACTCTTGCCTTTTGAAGTCTTCTAATAACATTTGTATTATCCCCTTCAATGATAACTCCTTTGTAAATGAACATCCAATCTTTAACAATCTCCTTCAAAGATTTGATAGCTTGAAGCTCCAAATGATGAATATCCCAATGAATATATTTTATGCCAAAAGCCAATAAAAACCTTCCCTTGCTATCTCGTATAACACCTCCAACACCAGCATTGTAATTATTTTGTAGAGAAGCATCAACATTGATTTTTAACCATTCGGGGGGAGGAGGATGCCAAGTTTTGACAGCCTAGGAGGCTGCGTTTAACATCCCTTGATTCCGAATGGGTATACAAAATCAATTTAGAGATAGAAGAATAAACTAATAGCGAATTGACTGCTACTGAAATAAGAACCTTCTTTTCACTTTATCATGAAATCCATTTGTTTCTAGCCTCCAAGAAAAAAATAGTACATTAAAGAATAAATTGAGGATCAAACCATTGCTATTAGCAGATTTTATCCATCCAATTCAAGCAGCCTGAAAATTAATAAAGAAAGGAATCTGAAATCCCCATTTGCTAAGTTGATTAGCACCTCCTTGATTTTAGAACATTCTGAAAATAATGTGTTCCGTATCTTCAACTGCCATTCAAGCATCTAGGACAACTTTCATTCTCTTGAATTCTTCTCCGAACTAGATAATGGAAAAGTTGGGAATAGCTTCTTGAATAATCTCCAGCAAAACGTTTTCAACTCTTGGCCTTTAATTTGGCTTTCTTCATCCAACTAAAATACTTAAAAATCTGTCAGATTATTGATTTTGGCTTTAGCTATCATTTTTGGAATGAACTCCCAGAATTTTTTGTTTGATTAGCTCTAGCTTGTCTTCCCTTTGATCATTGCTATATACTTGTTTGCATAAATTAGATTAATCATTTCATTCCCAACAAAACTTTTTCTTAATTCAATCACATCCCATTCAACTCTTTTTAAAATTTATCCAGAAATATAAATTTCTTCATTCTGAGGGACAACAAAAGAAGGCCATTCATTTATTTCTGTCAAGCCAGCCATTTGTCTTCAAAAGCTCTGATTTTGATCCATTTCCCACGCTCCCATTTCAGAAAAGGAAGTAGAACTTTTCCTCCATCAATCGTATTTTCCATGAGGAAGAAACATCCTTTATATAATGCTTTCATCAATTCTTAGTTCCATATTTAGGAGCTAACAGTTTAAACAAAAATGATCTTTTGTCAAAAATCTCCAAGATAGTTTTAGCTCTCAGGTCACGCAACTTTTAGAAGTTGGAGAGTACAATCCCCTACCACCGTTTTCCATTGGTTTACATAGATCCTCCAATTTAAACTAATGGAACTGCCAGATTTTCACCATTGGGCTTATTCCAAATGAAATTTCTACAAAGCTTGTTGACTTCATGAAGAATTTTCATGGGGACTAAAGAATGAGTGCTATAAAATCCTGGAATAATCAATAAAATCGTCTTCACAAGTGTTAATTTCCCAGCTAATGACAGCAACTTACTTCCCCAAGTGTTTACCTTCTTTAACGATTTTTCAATGATGAATTGAAAATCATTAACCTTTAGCCTCCTCAATGCCATTTTGATACCAAGGTAAGTAATTTCTTTTACTTCCTTGATTCCCAAAGCTTTAGTAATAGCTTTTTTTCTTCTTCTATCAACCATTTTGCCAAATAAGATACCTGATTTATCCAAGTTTATATTTTGCCCTGTCCAATTACAGAAATTGGAGATAATCCCTTTAACCTTCATAGCATTATTTTTGCTAGCTTCTTAATATATCATAACATCATCAGCGTAAAGCATATGGGAGATACGAGGACCATTAGTAGATATGTTCACCCCAATGTTAGTAAGAGCTAGAGCATTTGATAAGAGTTGTGAACATAAAATAAAAAGAAATGGGGACAAAGGGCATCATTGACAAAACCGCTTTTTGCTGAAATCCAATCCGACTTGCTTCCATTGATTATAATAGAAAATCTTGGTTTTAACACACATTCCATGATGACTTTGGAGAATAAAGAAGGGAATTCATAATATTTTAAGACTCCTTCAAGAGTATCCCAACTCATTGAGTCATATGCTTGTTCCATGTCAATCTTGTAAGCTACAAGCCCTTTGGAATTTTTTGAAAACCTGAATTTGTGAAAGACCTCTTGAGTAATTAATAGATGATCTGAAATGGATCTCCCTTGAATGAAAGCAGCTTGCTCATTAGAAATGACTTTGGGAATGATGTATGATAGCCTATTAAGTATGACTTTAGCTGCTACTTTGTAAACCGAATTACAAAGACTAATAGGTCTATAGTTGGAAGGGTTCATAGGATTAGTAATTTTTGGAATTAACACAATCAAAGTGTCTTTCCAAGAATTCTCCATAACGCCATGTTGAAGAAAATATAATATAGCATTTAAGAAATCCTTCTTTATGATAACCCAATAAGTTCTCAAAAAGGAATAAGTGATCCCATCACAACCAGGTGCAATGTTGTTGCCTAAGTCTTTGACAACAGCTACAATTTCTTCCTCCATGAAAGCTCTAGACAACCAATTTTTATCATCATCTTTTACTGTACAATTCGAGACAGGCCACCCTTCTAAAGAGCACTCCCTTTGCCTCCATTTCTGTTCAAAGAATCTGAGCAAAACACTTTCAATTTGATCTTGTTTATCCACTACAAAACCTTCTTCATCTTTGATCTTCACTATGCTATTCAGCCTCCTTTTTGCACTAGCAAAAGTTTGAAAAAATCTTGAGTTGCTATCACCTTCCTTCATCCATTTGGTTTTTGTTCTTTGCTTCCACCAAGTGTTTAGTCTAGCCATAATAAAATTCAACTCCAGAACTTTAGCTTTTAATCTCCAACAATCTTCATCAGATAAAAGTCCATTTTCATCTTCTCTACTTTGAATTTCCATAATTTCTTTTAACAGTTTGTCTTTAGAATAGTTCAAGTTCACCTTCTTTGCCTTACTCCAGAAAAACAAAGATTTAAGAGTCCTTTTGAATTTTGAATTCAAAATATGCGCATGACTCCCTTGATAATTAATAGACCAAGCTTTTTTAACCACTTTGAGAGCAGCCGGGTATGAAATCCAAACATCCTCAAATTTAATGGACTTGACAGCTTTGTATTTAGAATTGATAATGTTGAGGACTAAAGGGCAATGATCGGAAGCAATTCTAGCTATATGATTTAGAATTAAAGGAGAAGATAAATTTAAAGCATAAGTGTTAAAGAAACACCTGTCAAGCCTTTCAAGAATACGAGCTCCTCCAACCTTGTTGTTGCACCAAGTGAAACGAGGTCCAATGAAGTTAATCTCATGATAATCATTGTTAGCAAAGAAAGTATCCATTTCCTTAGAGCCTTGAGAATAAGAGAATCTTTTACCACCTCTTTTATCTTCTCTAGAAGTAATGCAATTGAAATCTCCAGCGATTGTCATAGGATAATCCACAGACGAATAGGTACCAAGCTTTTCCCAAAGATCTCTTCTTTTACAGCATTCTTTATTAGCATACACTGCTGCTATCCTCCATTTGCTGTCATTCTTGATCACCAGGTCCCCAATAATGCATTGATTAGAAGAGTCTAACATAGTGAAATCAGCTACATTTGTGTTCCAGAGCACAATCAAACCTCCAGATAATCCGTTAGAGGATACCATATCATAGTTCCACCCATCACCAATTAGATTATTAACTTCTTTCCTATCTATAGAAGTCAATTTCGTTTCTAACAACCCAACAAAAATTACATTATGAATTTTCACAAATTCTTTTAGGAATAGAGAAGCACTCTTCTTTTTTGCTCCTCTACAATTCCAAAAAGCAAACGAATACATTTAATGATTGAATGGGGATTGGCTCCACATATTGCCTTTGGATTCCATTTCCATTCTCCTGCTCCTTAATTTCGAGCTGATAGGACCCAAGTCCTTCAATTTTTTGGATTTCTTCTTCTTCACAATAATACAAACATCTTCATTACAATGAAGTAAAGAATTTGAAATGCAACTGGGATCAGAAAAATTCTTATCTGGAGGCTCTTCCTGCACTTGATCTTCAATCAGATTTTCTAGAATAATCTCTCCTTCAATTTGATTACTCAATAAATTGAATTCTTTGATACAAGATTGATTAAGTTCTGGACTGCAGTTTTTGGAATCTATTGCTTTCTTAAATAGATTTTCAGCAATCCCTTCTTCCACTTTGTTATCAGCAATTGGCTCTTCAACATCTACAGAATTTACTTCCAAGATCTTCTTATCTGTTTCATTATCAGCTTTCCCAGGAACATTATTAACCTCCTTTATCTTCCATAGACTTTTATTAACTTTTTGAAGAGGCCGGTGAAGAATTTGATTCTGATTTTGCTGAATTGCTTTATTTCTTCCTCTATTAACAACAAGCCAAGGCCCATAACCTGTCTCTTCTATGTCTTTAGCTGCTTTATTGATCTCTGAAACAGAACTATTCCCTTCTATGGCTTTATTTCCTGTGAACTCTTTACAGGCTTCTACATTGTGTCCAATAAGACCACAATTGTAACAGAAATTAGGCACTCTTTCATACTCAAACTTTTGATAGAACCTTCCAGCTTTACCTTCAACCTAAACACCAAGAGGAAGCTTGTTGTCTAGTTGAATTCGGACACATACTCTCCCAAATTCTCTCCTCCCCCATTGGAACATGTTTCCGTCTATCAAGTATGGCTTGCCTACCATTGAGGCAATTCTACACAGATTGATGTTGTCCCAACATTGAAGTGGAAGATTAGGTAATCTTATCCAGATTGGTGCCGTTAATCCTTTCAAAGAATTTGTAGAGAAATTTTGGGACCAGTTGTCCATTCCAATAATTTTTCCATTAACAAACCATGGACCATTTGTCATCACTGCCTCCATGTGTTCTGGTTCATAAAATGAACATAACACCCATCCCATGCCTAGCATTGTTAAATGGAATTTTCCGAACTGCATCCATTGTCTTCTCAGTTCATAGCTAATGGTTTTCAGTGGAGGATCACCTCCAAATACTTTTATAACTATTGAATTACAGAGCCTGTCAGAATTTTCCTTCTCATTGTCTTCATGAAGTTTAACTGTTTTACCGTCTTCAGCAAGAAATTCACCCAGTTGAAGATCTGAAACTTTGATATTTTCCTTCTTTCTCCATAATTTGTTTTTCTCTCCTTCAAGATTATCCTTTGAGTTCGGAATATTATCACCACCAATTCCTTGCTCAGCTGAATCTACTTCTTTGACATTGAATAAATTAGAGAACAGCATTTTCCCTGTTCCACCTTTCACGTTTGGAGATTTTGATTCATTTTTCCTTTTGCTTGCTTCAAAGTTAGACAAATCCGGATTTACAGACTTAAAACGATCAAGAATTACCACATCATTATTGTTTTTAATTCCACTGGAAGAGGGACTGTTCATCTTCAATGCTAGAATGGAAGGCGACCCTTCTGAACCGTCATAAGGTTTTAAATCTACCCTTCTTTTAAGAAATTCCCCCACTTCTTCTTCAATCAATTTACCTTTACCTTTACCAATGATCTCTGGTTCAATCCTTGCTGATAAGCCACCTTCTTTGATAACAATACCTTTGTTATTCATAGTTTTGTTGATCAGAACAACTCCATTATTTCCGTCACCGAAAGCCGGAGGGGATAGCATTTGACGTGATGATCCATTCATGACCTTCGTCATTGAACGGCGATTTTCCAAGGTACCATCGGACGGCGGCGAAAATCCGCCGCCATCAAATCCCGAAAATCCCGCGAACTGAAAAAATTTGAAATCCCGTAAAAAACAAAGCTTTTTCCCAGAGTTTCTCTCACTTCTTTCTCTCACTTATTTGGTAACTCAACAAAAAAATAGGCCATTTAATTTAAACATCTAAAGGTGAAAGTCGTAACACTATTTGATAAGGAGTCCTCTTATTATTTTTAACAACTTTGTACTTCTTCATTACGAATAGCTATGCGTTGTATGTGTACACTCTTAACAATATATGTTTATGTCATCGTATTGTTTACATTTGTACTTGCTCTTAAAAATATATGTTTAAATTATGTTTTTATTTCAAGGTCTTTGGGTTTTAGTGGATTTTAATTTCTTTTCAGAAATGTTTTCACTTCTGAGTTATCTACATGTAGAATCTATTCATGATTTTTCCACTACCGCTTGTAACATGACATATACCTTTTAGGGCTTCCGCAAGATTGATGGTGATCGATGGGAGTTTGCCAATGAAGACTTCTTGCGTGGTAAGAGATTATTGCTGAAAAACATAAATAGGCGGAGGCTACCTCGCACCAAGCCTAAAGATCCTTATCTGTGTTCTTCAATGGAGATGGAGCTATTGGGAGCAGACGATGAACTTCAGAAAATGAGAAGCGAGAATAATCTGCTAATGCAAGAGGTTGTGAAAATGAAACAGGAACACCTTGTGACCGTCAAGCAGATGGATAAAATGGATTGTAGGTTGCAATCAGCAGAATTAAGGCAAAAACAAATGTTGTCTTTCTCGATAAAGGTACTTCGAAATCCAGTTTTTTTATTGCAGCTCAAACAGAAAAGCAATCTGAAGGAAATCGCTTCATCAAAAAGATCCGTTGAGCAGGGCCAGGTTAGTTATGTCAACAATTCAACAACGCAGCAAATTGTTAAATATGGTCAAAACCTTTGCGATCCGGGCTCAACTTTTGCGTTCCAAGGCTTGGAATCTAGTTCAGAAATACAACTAGCTGATCAACTTTTACAAGACATGTCTGGCAAACTTGATCTTGATGTCAACGTACTGGATGAAAGCTCCAATAAGCCACTTGAAACACTAGAACCATCGTTTAACCCAAATGCTTCTTCCAAGGGGAAAAATATAATGATTTCAAAAGAAGATTCTAGTCTTGGTTCAGCTGACTTACATATATCTTCACCACAAGAATTTTCTTCAAAGTTAATGGTCATGGAACCCACTTCTCCTTTAAATGAGAGTATTATTGAGCAAGACTTGCAAATTAACACATTCAATGGTAAGAATGCCGGAGAAATTCAAGGTGGTATGTGGGATAATCTTGTCTGTACTAATCCTGTAGTTCCAGGAGATGAAATTGGACTTTCTGAGATGTGGGATTTTGGTTTAGACTTGGATGAAGATTTTGATTTTGACAAATGCTTTGGTAGTCAGTTTCCTCTCCTGCTGCATGTGGATGAAGATGGATCGAGAGACGATCATCCAAAAAAATCAGAACCATAGTTCTTTACTTATTTTGGATAATCTGCTTTGGTAGCTATATCTACATTCATCTAATAATATTTTTTTTCGTATAATATGGCGTTTAATAGGCATTCTAATTTATAAATTAATTAGACGCGTTTGCTGTATTTTAATCATTGATACCTGTATCATCATTCATGGAATTACCGTTGAACAAACACGATTAGACTAATGATAATTATAAGAAATATTTTGGATAAAGGTTGAAATATTCTTAACGAAAATTTATTAATAATTGTTCATCCAAGTCATTTGGAGATTTTATCTTCGTTAATAGATTGGCCAATCTTTTGGAAAATCTATATTGCTATTATAAAAGAGTTTGAATTTTCTTCCATATCAAATTTCGGCCATTTATTTTTATTAATTTTAATTATTTAATCTATGATATTATAATAAAAGCCGTTTGAGTTTCTTCTCAAACAAAATCTTAATCTTTCATTTTAATTATTCAAATACAACCATGACCTTTGATTTTATTATTTTATTATGATTAATTGATAATTTTAAAAATAATTAATATATAATTACTTTTCATTTAAGTAATTAAATGAATAATGTTTTTTAAATTCACTAATCTTTTAGTCTCTATTTTTTTGTATTTTATTTTTCTGCACTTTTTAAATTTTTTGGTTGAAAAAGTTTTTGATAAAGAAAATTGTTTGTTGTAAAAATTTATAAAATAGTTTCAAAAATTTCAAAGGAGTTTTTTTTTAAGATAACCAATTTACCCCCTCTTTTTGTTAGTCTTGGGACAATAACTTTAGATCTAACAGCCTATACAGACTATCACCTGTTCTAATGGAATTTCATACACTGTCAGTCATATGTACGACTTGACATCATATTGCATAAAATTTTAAAAAATGAATAAGTTCATATGGAACGATCTTGTATGAATGGAATTTCATACTCTATCCGACATCTGTACGACATGAAATAATGTATAAATTATTCAAAAATTAACAAGTTAGTTTGGTATGATCTGGTACAAATGGAATTTCATACTCTGTTAGTCGTATGTACAACATGACATCATATTGTACGTACTGTTCAAAGATTCAGGCCATGATTTAATTAAATCCATTTGGAGAGAAAATTAAGTCAAATTGTACAGTATGATTATATATCATATAGTATGATTAGTTTTAAAAATTTATGTTTTAACTCTCTAACCTTGTAAGTGTGTACATGATTACCCAATTACAATCACACCTGCTAAAACTCAAGAAAAGAAAAAAAATAGAGATGTACAAACTCTATTACATGAAATCCTATTCTAACTTATCTTGAAATCTTCAACAATATGGAGTTCCTAAAATATTAGTACACAAACAAACACATAGACATAACCATATGCTAGGAGAAATAATAAAATGAGGAACATAATATTTTGTCATCATAAAAAATCACATTCTTATTCCCTAAGTTGCAACACTGAACTGTTCCACACAGGTTATAGTTGTCAAGCATTACTCTGACATACAATCTTAGAAAGGTCAAACTTCATAAGAGGATGTCAATGAAATCATAAATTATTGATTCAAGAAATATACTATCTTTATTCTATCTCAATCACTGAATAAGAGATCCCAGTGGGATTCGATCTGACCTCTTACACACAGGTTAACATCATCGAGCACCACTTTGATATACAACCTTGGATAGGATAAACATCCTAGGAGGATATTAATGAAATCTTTAATCCTTGATTCAAGAAATATGAAATCTTTATTATGCCTCAAACACTAGATGATTGATCCAAGGGGGATTTTATCAAACTTCTTTCACACAGGATAACATCATCAAGAAGCCCCTTAACATCATATAATTATCCTTCTAACCTCTATTGCCAGACAATGGTCTTTCTGACCCCAATCTCCTACCAACTACGGTCTTTTCGACCTCCATTGCCTACATAGATCCTTCCTACCTATGTCACCAGACTAATATCTTCCTGACCATCATCGCTAGATAACAGTCCTTCAAACCTATGTCACTAAATAATTATCCCTTTGACCTCGATCACCCGACTACGGTCCTCCTGGCCTTCATCACCATACTATTTCCTTTTTAACCCCTATCACCCATCGACTACGGTCCTCTCAACCTCTATCACCAACTACAATTCTTCTGACCTCCATCGCCACTAACTACGATCCTTCCAACCTCCATCACAAAATAACAGTCTTTTTGACTTCCATCGCCAACCAACTATGAATGTGAATCTCTCCTGGTCGTGGGATTTCTCAAAGACGGGTGATCCCCCATCATGACTTTTGTGTAGGGTGGGGTCCTTCAGTAAGATAAGGGATACTGCTTATCTAAAGTAGGGGAAGGCCTCCCTTATAGGAAGAAAATTAAAGGGGAGAGAAGGGGAAAGCAAGAAAAGGTCCCTTTAATACAAGGAGGGGCCCTTGCACTAGATAGGGGATACCACTTATACAATGCCATAATAATACCTCAATTAGAAAAGAGAAAACTCCTACTCAGCGAGGGGCCCTATACCAAAATAGTGGATACCACCTGAATAGGACCATGGGAAGGCGTCAGCCTGAGGAAAAGAAGGGACTAAAAGAGGAAAGGAGGAAGACACTCCTACTTAGTGTGGGGCCCTAGACTTGGATAGGGGATACCGCTTGAATAAGAGTAGGGTAAGGTCTCAGCTTAACAAGAAGAGGAAAAAAGGAGAAGGGGAAAATTTTTCATACCCCAAGGGAGGGTATTTATAACAAGAGGGGGAAGTCAGAGGAATTATAAAATTATAAAAATAAAGAATGAAGATATATATATATGGATCTAAAATAAAGACTCAACCAGTGGTGGTTAATTAGCAGTTAGCCAACCACTGCTACTTCCCAAAACTGCCGGCTAACAGTAGCCGAGAGGCATGGGCCATGTTAGCCACGATATGCAAGCAGTAGGCAGGCAAGTGGCAGTGTGTGAGCAGCTGAGCAGGGCAAGAAAACTGGGCATATGCAAGGTAGTGCACTGGCAGGCCAAGCAGGTGGCAGCTGCCCACGGTGATCGATAGTGGTTGGTTTATCCTAGCTAAATTTAGGCCCCAAGAAGATCAAATTAGATGTTTTTGGGGTCCTCGATACCATTTTTTGACATTCCAAACTCAATTTTGGCACTTTTAAAGTTATTTGGGACATTTACGCCTAAGTTTAGATTATTTTCAAGTTTCAAATAACACAAAAAATTTCTTTGGAACTATAATGTATATTTTTGGACTTCTTGAGCCATGATGTTTGAAAATAGATGACAACTAATACATCATCAAAAAATTATATTGATTGAGCATGAATCTTGAGGTAAACTTAAGTTGGAAACTTCTAAAATTAAAATTAGGACCATTGAAACTTCGATTTTATCAAAATTATAGTCAAACTAAACGTCTCAAAAATTCAAACACAATGACACCAAAATTGACTCAATCCGGCTCCAAATGGGTCCAAACCAAGGACCAAAGAACTGTTTGAAGGTTGAAATAATAATTTGGATTACCAAATAGTTTTCAAACTTGACATGCTTATAGTTGAATTGAGTGGCTTAACGAGACTAATCTAAAAATCCTAAGATCAAAAAATTTTGATATCACTAAGGCATTTTAAATGCCTAGTAAATGTTCCATAATTAAGGAGTTCAACATCAGCCGTCCATCCAAACCACTCCCCATTTAACCTTGATATTCCTCCTATTTATTAGCTTATTGACCTTATTTTTGTATGAGGTCATTAAGAATTTTCCTAATCCCCTGACTGATGATCCAATGGAGGACAGTTATACACTTGTCATCCATAGAGATCCCAATTAACTCTTAATCTAGCCTACAATCAACACTCAACTCAATCTTCAATCAATAATCTATCCAGCCCTAAATTAAGTTCAATAAATTTTAACCATCTTTATAATTCAACATCAATCATTCCAACTCAAAATCCATCTTAAATATAAAATTCTTAGTCAAGACCTAGGCCTAAAATCTTAGGTCTTGAAGCATAGTCTAAATGAATTTTTTATCACCTGGAAACCAGACAGTTGGAATCTAATTTAGATTCTATCAATTTAATATTGATATTAGATGTCTCTAGTATTAACCCTCCAAATTTGAGCTCATTTGGAGACCTCTAACCCCATAAACCAGGTTAATCTCCAAAGACTATAAAACCTTTAAATATTTACAGCCTATGCCAGTTGACATGCCAACAAGTGGAATTTGATCTTGGGACCCCTTTCAAACCTTCCAACCATAAACATGACCTTTATTAAGAACTCTTGAGCATAAACCTACACTTTTTTGCATCCATTTTGACCTAGTATTAACCAGGGGTCAAAATGACCAAAATGCCCTTTAAGGGGTTTTTGGTCTTTTCCCCAAAATCTAGCATGGCTCTCCCTTCTAAATTATTAAAATCTATCCCAATGAATCATGAATGTCATTTAGGATCCATTGGACCCAAATCAAAACCCTGGGCCAACCTGGTTGACCAAGTTAACCTAGGTTGACCCATAAGCTCCTTAAGGGGTCAAAATGGTCAAGTTGACTAAAATGACCTATCTAGCTCTTGGGATCACCTCTACAAGACTCTAAATATCAATCCAAAATTTAAAACCCAACACTTAGCTTATGTCGGGGCACTTCTGAATTGTTTTAGAATCCTAAAGTGTCTCATACTCTTCTTCCTTTGACCCAAAAATAAGTGTTCAATCTTACTCCAATCCCATTTAAAATTATATTTTGTTTCCTTAGACATCACTCTTAAAAAGACTCTAAATAAAATTTCTATCATTATTTTAATTGAGAGTTTTGTATGAGACTTCAGTTTCCTACGATGTAATTTACTACTAGGGCTTGCATTCGTTGGAGATTTAGAATCCACATCCACTTTTTCAAAATCAATTTTTTAAATTCGAAATTAATCTTCTTTGGGAAAATGAAGTTAGAAATGATCATTATCATCATATTCTATTGATCAATAATAAGTGATATATCTCTCCTTAGAGAGATATATCATTCACTATTGTGATTTGGAATATGA